CTGGAGTGGCCTCTGTTCTTGACCCTTCCGAGTTCCAGTTTGTGACTTTTATTGATCTAACTCCAAGGCTTTCCTTGTTTCAAGTCACATCGTTGCAGCAAAGTCGGTGTGGTCTTTTCTCTGTTTGCTAGTGCAAAAGTTCTATCATCTTCAAGGTAGTATCTCTACCCCTATAAATCTAAAAATTTACACACAATCCCTATCTTATCCTGGACGATTTCAGAGCTTGGTTCATTGTGGAGTTCATACAGACGATTTACTAGTGCCACTGGCATTTATCAACCGGCAGTCCATTGGACCAGGTCGGATTAAGCGTGCATTTTTAAACTACACAAGAATGGAGAAAAGAAAACATTTCTGGCGGCAAAATCGGTGGTATCCTGTAAGCAGGACGTCGGTGGTTCGCGTTCTGTCTATTCCGAATGGCCCATTGAATTGACACTTTTTCCTCCTCTTTTCTAACCTTTAGGACCCATGTGAACATGTTTCTGAATAACTTACCTTAGGGTTTTCAGTTCCTATTGCTATTTTGTACGTAAGTCTATGATAACGAGACTTCCGTTCCTCTGTAACCTATGCTTCCGTGCAACGAAACCAAGAGCAAAGAGACACAGTGTGTGCCAGATGAACAAAGTAACCCAGTTCTCTCTCGGATGACAGACCGAACAGGCTGCCAGCCTAATTTTAGTTCACGCAACAGTTGGTTGTTGCTCACTTAGCCATGCGGGACAATTAGGTTGCAAACGTTTTGTTGCTGATCGGGGCGGGCGTATTTGGGTGGATATCTTCTTTGTGCATATTTAGCCTTCAAAGGACAACTGCAATCGGCTAATGTATGTCTCCTAATCTCAGTGGTTCGTTGGCAAGTGGTGTCGCGTCGCGGTCTACATTTCCAACATTCGGCTGGTTCATTGGGTAGCTTCTTCTCGAGGGTTTTGCCTGCCGTTCCAATTGGCCTGTTCCCTATTTGTGTTGACTTCGAGGTCTCTCCTCCCGAAATTCGGTTGGCTATGATAGCTATTTCCGTTTACAAGGTTCTCTTTCCTCAGTTTGTTGGATCCATTCTCAGTTTGTGGCACTGTCCGATCTCCAAGGATTTGATTAACCGGCTGCAGTTCCTAGTTTCTTGTAGTTTTTCGTTCTTGTGCTGGGCGATTTCTTCTCATGTTATCTTACTTCGCTAAGCCATTCTTTATCCTATACTCTATTTGTTTGGATACATAGAAAATCGTTCAGCTGTAGAACCCTTTCGGCGCTTAATTGCCGTGCTACCAGAAGGAAGCAAGATGGCTGGGATACTGCCAGGTTGCCCAAACCTAGACAGGAGCAGGTGAGATCAAGAGGTTGAGTTCGAACCAGTCAGTAAATCCACGCACTAACCACTAAGCCCATCTCACCTCCTAAATACATAGCCCAGGCGACGGATTGGACTTTTGAATTCAGATTCGCCTGCTTCTTCCATACACGTCGCTCCCGTGCATTTGTACAAGTTTGCGTCTTTTCGCTCTGCGATCCTCTTGTCGTTAGTAGTTGGTAGATCTAGTCCACTTGTCAAGCTGGGAGAACAGATCAACGGCTATCTGGACAACGGCCGGTAAACGCACCCTAGCTTTCGACATTTTGACACTGATAGACCACTTCACCTGGCCGACGAACCGCTTGTCTTGTCTTGTCTTAATTCTGTAGTATTTGACTGCTAATTATAGCCCCGCCAATTCTCTTAATGGTGGCGGCGACATGACGATGAACAATGTTATAGAGATTTTTCGACGTTTCCATTGGTAGGTGTTGACGTTTTGTAAGCTCACGAAAGTAAAATCCCAATACCAATGTACCATCACAAACCTATAAGACCTAACAGCCTATTTTCGCGACGTACTGCTCCCTTCCTGTGTGGGTTTCCAGTGACAAAATCCGAAAAGGATGAAGTAGTACACAGGACAGCTGTTTCATCCTTCTTCGAGATCATCAGCACCGCTCATCTCACAGAAATTGACAAGATGTTCTCGAACCTACAACTTCCCCGTTTGAACCCTAAAATGTGCGATCACGAACAGCTAATCGGTATTGTGATGAACGCGCACTTAGACAGGACATAGCGACGTCAATTCTTCAATCACACCACGTTGTCACGCTCTTTGATTGATGAATTCCCAAATGGAAGTTCACCCATCGAGCACAACGCTTCTCAGCTTTCCAATTGACGTCAATTACGGGACGAAATCCCCTTTAAAATTCTCACATCTCCTCACACTACCAAAAACCAATGATTGAATTGTGCCTACCCTGATCATGTATTTCATCCCTTAATCACAAGAGCACACGAGCTTCGTTGGTTTCCGCTATTTGCTCTCATTTTTGAACACTGATCAAACCATCTGATGACAGTTCACGGGATTTATTTCCAGAAGTTTTGCCTCTTACTCCACTTTGCCCACCGGATGCTGAATGTCATCTGTCAGTGTTCCACTCAACTATCCCCGTTGTGAGACACGTCAGGTGACTTTCAACAAAGCAATCCTGGGAAAGGTCTCAGCAACCTTGTGAGTAGTTCCCTTTATGAAAGTTTTACCTAGTTTGGCAGATGCGTCGAGATTTGTAAGGAATCCGGCAGACAGTCGATCACACTTCAACACATGCTCTGAGCCAAGCAAAAGCACTTGAATTCACATACGCTGTGCACACAACAGAGATGGACGACGCCCTGTTGTTGTGGATAACTTTGAACCCGAACATCCGGTGATCGAATACCGTAATAATACCTATTCGGAATAAAGCTTGTGGTGGATTGCTTTTCCAGGGTCAACCATTACTGCTTCACCTTTCCAATCATTTGTCTTTGAAATGGACAGCATCCGTTTCGATGTCAGTGCACTGATTACGCACAACTAGTTCTATTTACCCATTTTATTTGGGTAGAACAATCAGCTTCTTCACGTGCTTGCCGTCTCAACTGATTCAAATCAACTCGACTTGTTCTCGTATCTAAAGTATGATGCATCTGTAGTGAAAGTCCAGAAGCTAGTACCGGTGGGTTAGTTAGCTTGTGTGTGTGTGTGTGTGTGTGTGTGTGTGTATACGATGCCTTTTCCCGATTCATTCTCAAAATGAACAACTGAGTTTCACGTCCGTATTTGAATTTGTCTTTTCGGATGAGTGTGTTGAGAGGTCGTACGAGTGAAGATAGTGACAGGATCTTTTAGTAAAACAATCCTGTTAAAAATAGCCCAATTTTCTGACACGATGTGCGTGTGTATAAGAAGAAGAGTTACGACAATACTGGTGTAAACTCCCTTCAATGTATGTATAGGAAAAACGAGCAAACTCTTGTACGACTGGATGCCAGTTTTATAGAACACGTAAACATTCAAAACGAGGACTAGCGTCCAAATCACGAGAACCTCAACATGGTATCACACTGTCATGAACGTCAGGTGAACCATCCCGCCGATAGTGTGAAAACAGGAGTTGCTATCGCTTAGGGGTGTGAACAAAAGACCTGGATTAGGTTATCGAACAGCAAGGCGTATGAGCGTTAAACATCAAGAAGGAAAACACAGCGGGAGATAAATCGGCCAGGGTACAGCTCTGTTCCATCAGACTTTACCCTTCGAAAAGCTTGTGTTCGCGAAGTGATATGCCCACTTGTTTCGAAAGCTTATGTGGAAATATCCAAGTGACCAAACATGTCGTATGCAGTGTGTTCAAGTTTCTCTCTCGCATCTCTCTCGATCCACTTTAACAATCCCACAAGTGATGGCTTAACTGACCCCTAACATTGACGATACTTCACAGCGAAGCTGTCTGTTAAATAGGGATTAACAGGATCTGAAGTGAGGACGCAGTCATGCTTTGTTCGAGCTCACACTAACAACTGCTAAGTGTGACCGCATCCAATCGCTCTTCATGGTTACTGACAACAGTGAAAACGTGTTTTATGCTTCTGTGTTTATGATGACAAAAAGGACAGATCGAGAATAACAAAAACCTTTTACCCACCTAGAAGAATAATTTTACTCACCTAGTCAAGAAAGTCTGACCGAACTGGAAACAATTCTGTTTCGGGGAGGACAGAGATCAAATGTAATATGATATTGGCTAAATGCTTACCTAATCACAATGTGATGAGAAGACATGGGTGGTGAGATGTTAGCGTCGTCTTTGGCCACCAAACACAAGGTAGGCCCCCTTTTTGCTACTGGCATAAAGACGTCTTCTCCTGATCGCCCTTGTAAACATGATCAGTTCATTGCCAACATCGCATAGAAGTTCACACATGTTGTGGACCGCAGTCTACCCGTTGCGCAACTACGGCGAGCACAATCTGTCCGATCGTTCACATTACAAATCGATCAGATTCGGTTGTTTGCTAAGTCCGACTATTTTCATTCAAGACAGGCCAGTACGTGGTGACGTAAAGGACTGGTGTTTGCGAATAGCTCGACCACCGAGCGAACAAGAAGAGTTATTATCACACATCGAAATGACTGTCACCAAGAGACTGGATCTTACCGTGGTGTGACGCTTTGTGTACTTCGGCGACCCAGTGAGCTATATTGGGGGGTGCCCGCGCGATATTCACACAGTCTCTCATACCACCTTGGTCAATAGTTAGAGGTCTGACGAACACAGTCCTCCAGGTTGGGGTTAGGAACATGTTTGGTGGCTTGTTCCGTAAAAACAGTAATGTACTTGAATTTCCAGCTAAACACCGCTGCCTTGCGGTCAGGTTTTTGAACCAAATGCCTTGGTGGAGGACCCTAATCGTCCTCCTGTCTAGGTGCGGGCGCTCTGACAGTATCCTATCCCACGTACAACCACGAACTGCACATATACAAACGAGCTCATGCCACATCGGCCGTCGCGAGGTCCCATCAGCCTACTCGCGGCATACAGTAGGGCGGGTGGGCGAAAACAGGTCAATGCTGACGTCTCTCTTCTTTTTTTCACGTATTTTTCTTCTCCCTCTCCCCACCCCATTATTAACTCTCCTGTTGTAGACCCAGCACTTGGGACTGATGACTACGTTCGTCGTGCATCGGATTTGCAAGAAACATCTACGCGTCATCCAGCGCTGAAATTCTCAGGCACCTCGAAATTAATAGTTAAGCCTCGACATCCAGTCAGTCCGGTTGCCTTCAATGTCCACACTCTGAAACAGCAGGATCACAAGCTACTCTTGCTCTCACACTGGACTCGCTTGGCTCTGATGTGTGCTGTTTCTCAGGAACGAGAATCGAGGATGCAAGCACATTGGTTGAGCTAACCGCCCCGTCCTCCACTCGCTTCCGGCTACGCACTTCTACTGATCCAGAGGCTGCTGCGGCGGGATGTACAGGGATTGGTATTGTCTTGGGTCACCGGATACCCGTTGAAAGTCACCCCTGTGCGGTTCTTCTGGCAACGTCCGTGAAGAAGTTTCACAAGGAGGAAGTTGATCGATGTCTATTTGTGATGTCTGCGAATTCCCCAACCGTCTGTAGCTCTGATACCATCAAAGACAAGTTTTAGGACGCCCTGAATACCCTGTTGCGGCGAGCTAAAAGCTCAGATATCGTGGTGGTTGCTGGAGACCTGAATGCACAAGTAGACAAGCTTAGCGCATCTGAGACTCTGTTAGGCGGTCCACATGGATTGTACTCGGTAAGTACAGTCAATGGTGAACGATTGCTTCAACTGTGTGCTGACCGCAGACTGTTTTTATGCAGTACTAACTGCTGAAATAGCAGATGCTGTCTGGCCACATGGTGTTCTCTAACGCTGTGCAGGCCACAAACCCAAATCGACCACATGGCCACCAGTTACCAATGGCGCGGATCAATAACTGGCTGCCGGTCGTTTTGGAACACATTTGTAAATTCCAACCACGCGCTCGTCCGAAGTCGCTTCACCCTTCGTTTTCCAGGACCGCGTAAGGTGGGCCTTCATCGCTTAGCAAGTGATAGGGTGGAAAATCCGGATGTTAGATGAACTTACCAGAATCGTCTCTTCCGAATGCCCCACCATCGGATGTGAATTCATATCGCGAAGAGATCGCCAACTCACTGCACAGTGCTAGGAGTTATGCTTCTGGTACAGCGCTACCAGGACTAATTAAGCACTGGATACCAGGCCTGACAGTGGCACTGCTTATATCTAGAAGTATCTCAGCTGGTACTGAGTATAACTTGACCCGACAAATTATCAGACGTCAAGTGAACGTGAGCGTGAGAGCCGACCGTGAAGTCCGGTGGGCACGGAAAGCCAAGGAAATGGAAGAGGCTCAGAAAGCCGCTAATGCCCGAAGATTATTTCAGATGATCCGTGTGACCAGCCCCCGGGAACCATCAAGGATCGCAATGCAAAAAAAACCTCGACCGGTGGGCCGAATACTTCGAACAATAGTTGTCGTGGCGACCTGCTGCCGCCCATCTGGAACCTTTAGTTGACGGCCTCGGAGGTTTATGACTCTCAAGCGCCACCGAGCTTCTGGTCCGGATGACCTCCAACCCGCATTGTCCAAAGATGAAGATGAAGTGCTCAGTCAGCGCTTGTCTGATCCGTTTGTCTGCATTTGGGAAAAGGAGACTATCCCAGACGATTGGGGGAATTCGGTTATAGTGCCCATTTTCAAAAACGGGGCTCGTAGAGTGTGGTAACCACAGGGAGATCAGCTTGAGCCCAGCCGTAATGAGATTCTTGACGTCACCTGGGCTTGTTGGCCTTACGGTGGGCCGTGAAACACTGACCGGAGAGCAGCAAGTGGGATTCCGGCCTTGTAGGGGTTGTTGACCAAATATTCACACTCCGTCAGGTGCTAGAGCGACGCCATACGTACAAACGACCAACTATTTTAGTATTTCTGGATTTCCGAGGCCCATTCGACTGTCTATTCTCCCTAACACGATGGCCTATCAAGGAATGTCCCGGAAGTTTGCGAATAGAATACGGTCTTCGTATCCTCAAATTTCCGAACTTGTCAGAGTATACGGGGAGCTTTCGAAAAGCCTCCGTACACAAAGCGGTGTCCGTCAGTGGTGCTCACTCTCTCCATTTTTGTTTAATGTCCTGATTGATGAGACGAACCCTGGAAGGTCTTCAAAAACACGGTGTTCAAATAAACTCTGACGGAACACTTGTCGATCTGGAATATGCGGGCGATATCGTTTTCGTTTTCGAAGAGGAGAAGGCACAGGTGTCTTTGGCATACACTTAGTACCCACGAAGTGTAAGGTCGTACAGTCACTGAACATGCTACTTATAATCCAGGGAGGGACACTCCAGGTTGCGCAGCGTTTTGCATATCTTAGAAGTTGCATTAATTCTGGTTGTAGTGTGATGACAGATGAGATAAATGCACGAATCTGCAAGGCCCGGTTCGCTTTCGCTAATTTGAGACACCTACGGCGTCAAAGTGGCATATCCCTGAGTCTCAAGGGACATGTGTATCGGGCTACAGCGCGGCCTATTTTGTTGCATGGCTGTGAGACAGCCCGTTCGAGCAGCGGAATTGAGATGTCTTCGGGTCTCAGGACTTATGGTTCCAAGGACCATAGCTGGTGTGAGTTGGTGTCAGCAAATCCGTAGTGAAGCAATTAGGAGGCGAGTTTCTGTTCGTGGCAGCACAAACTGCCAATGAATAATGTGTCCAGCATCAGAAGCTGTGTTGGTTAGGCCATGAATTGCGTATGCCGGACCATCGTTTGTCGACAAAAGCGCCCAACTCAGAGTGGCAGAAGCAGAGAGGTGGATAGCCATTGACTTGACGGAGGCGTATGGAGATTACGAAACGCTTGGGCGCTGTCGATGCTACTCGCCTTCCAAGATGGGGAGCGCGAGATCCCCACTGCGACTGGTTGGAGGCGGTGAGAGATTTGGCTGCTAGTCGATGTCAGTGGCGTTCTTGTTGTCAGTTTCTATCCAGATTGCCTGGAGGTGTATGCACCTCGGAATGATTCTGGTAAGGTAGCACTGAGTTCCTCACACACCTACTTTTATTCTTTCCTTCACAATAGGGATTTCAAACAGATCACGATTGTACGGCAGCGAAGCACTAATGTTGAACGCTGATGTCATGGTCTCGATGATGATGACTTCAAAATGGTGCAAGTCAGTCACCGACAAGCAGCGAACGACTGTGTTGTCCATGTCATCGCATGTCATGACGCTCGCAGCTTCGGTGACCCGTACTTGTAGGACGACAGACCGGTGTTTCTCTCCCAGAATAGGCGAAGACATTCCAATGTAATGGACGCAGGCAAGCTGTGTGCCAAGAAAATCAGTTGTCGTCAATTTCTGCTGACCACAGGTCAGTCAATGTTAGTGACGATTCCAAAAAGTGACATTCAGTGGTGTGACTTCACTGAAGACGAATAAAACAGTGATGCTGAGGGAGCAGCACCTGCCTCTACTGAGCTTGAAACTAACCTTAGGTCACACTTACTGTTTCTCGGAATTCGTGTGGTTTCTCCAAGGTCGTTATCACCCTGTCAAAATGACTGTGCACGCCTTAGGTCGTCTTACCACTGTTGCCATCTCAGATTTCCTCCAACGGAGGTTCCAAAAGCTGAGCTGAACACGGTACCATCATCGTTTAAATTGGACTTGTTTTGTGATTCTTTGGCGGAAAACTACAATATTCGTCCGAATTAAGTAATACGGGAAGATTGCTTGAGGTTCACAGCCAGTGCAATATCGGCCTTGCTCTATTTGGGGCTAACAGAGTGGGCCTAATCGCTTGAAGCTGGGAAACTCAACCGTCGACTTGAACAGTAATTTCGTCGAAGTCGTTATTGCTCACAAGGGACTTCATCCAGTTGTAAACGCAAGCAATTTGGTCACGCAAATGACCTTTGACTACACAATGCTCGTCCTTTATAAGACGTTCCTAAAAAGCCAATAACTTCGAATTTTTCCCAAATCTGATTCCAGAAAAACGTACCTTTATACTCATGGATAACGACTGTGTATGAACTGGTTAATCCGATTTGACATTGAAATAATGAGACCTGAACACTTACGATTGTACGAGTTTGTTGCTTTCATCGAGTTACCAGGGACGCTGAGAAAAAACGTCAATCAAGCAAACGTTGCCGGCAGGGATTCTAGGCAGGCCGTGTCAACTCCGAGGGGAAAAAGGGTTATGAATTGGTGTTAACAGCAATCAACCAAATCTCTCGTTTATAATACTCTTCAACCGAACATGTTGACATAACATTCGGAATACCGCAGTACACTTTCTTGACATAACACGCTACTTAGAAGGTTGATGAGTTTTCAGTCAAGAGTTAGTCCATTGCCTATGGAAGATGATGTTGAAATGGCTCTTAAAATCGGGGATCTAGTGGATCATTTGGTCAGGCATCTCTTCGATCGATTGGACGCACGTTCTACAAACCACACCAATGTTGAGCGGTCCAAGTAGTCTTTGGTAAAACAGTGAATCTCGTAAAAAGTACTGAATGCAGAATGCAGGGAAATATTTCTTCGGATGAAAAGACAAACCAATACCAATATCCAAATGGAAGCGGAAAACGACAACTTTTCGTGCGATTTGCGAAGCGAACCAAACAAAGATGGACAAAGTCATCCTTGAAAGCCAGATCGAAGAGCAGAACAAAAAAGGCCGCAGCGACGAACGACAGTTTCTTGCCGTTGGATAACTGGAGCAGGTATTCAAGATTTTTTACAAGTGGGTTGAATGAAGAAATCCCTTCAGCTTGTATTCACAATGCACGCAAATTAGGCAGTACGATGCTGTGTTTAACAAAATAAAAAAACTACCCACCACGACGGCCACAATTAAATTTGGACGTACTTGTTCAAAATCCAAGTACCTTTGGATTTAGGACAAGCAGGCTCCTCACGTGAATCACGAACAGTTAAAACCACTCACCCAACTGGTCAGACATCTCAAAAGTTTTGAAGTAAACCGAGGGATCTATTCAGCGTGCGTTTTGATTTCCTATTGAACATTTTTTCCGGTTTTTTTTTTACTATGGCTCTGATGGACAAGCTCGGTATGATTGGTGATGAGACAGTCTAACCGTAATGTGGCATACCTTGTGGAGCTGTTTTGTGAGTGACATCACGCGATTCGCTAACACGGATAACTCAGGAGTAATCTCCACTGGGTCAGGATACATCCCCCCGTCACAGAGATGAGACTAAACAGAAACGTCAAAATCTACGAGATAAAGTTTCTCAACCGTCGTTGTTTCGTCGCAAAAGATCTCGACACTCAAAACGCAATAAACACTAGGTAAACGGTCTTGTCTTCAAGGTAGAGCAAAGGGCTTAGAAAAAATACCAACAGAGTTGCTCACATTTGTCGATAAACAGTATTTCGAATCGAGAAATCGACAACAGAAAAGAGGCCACTCATACCAAACCAAACTGATGTTAATGAACCAAGGAACCAGTGTGGCAATTCACATGGGATTATACTGTCTGAGTGCTGTTGTCATCAACTGTCCAAGAACTGACAGGTCGTGTTAACCAAGGGTTAATTCAACGCCCCAAGCTTTTGAATAAAAGGTGCAGTAGCTGTAAAGATTTTTTTAAAATTATTACCTGTGTCAATAAGAATACTGGAAAGAAATGACAAAAAGTTGTCGAATACCTTTGGCACAGAAAGTATGACAGGCGGGGGAACGAACACAGCCGGTTGAAGGATCTGGAAACAGAAGGTGGACCCACACACTGCGCTTCCCTTATGAATTCTGGGAAGGGTCCGATAGCACTGGACGGGGCTTTGCGGTCCTCAAAAGAACTGCGTATCGTGACTGAAGGCACCGGCAAGCGATAAACAATCGTATGTTTTACCCTGATGCTTATTGCTCAATTGCACGTACAAACGCTGCGGTCCTGGACGGCTTGCTAACGGGTTAGGTTGTCCGAGGACTGTTTGCAGAATGTAGGTCTCTGCGATTGGTTGCCGAAGATCCAACGGTGGATAGGATGAGAACCATGTTTGCGGTGAACTTGTGAAGCGGAAGTGTTCAATGTGCGAAGAGGAACGAGCTAATTCAGACTGTGCGGGAAGAAAACGATAATGAGAACATCTGTTAGCAAAATGGACAGAAAAACGAAAAGCTTCGAAGTGTACTGGCCATGTCTCTGATCCACAGAGCACTATGATTTGCAGAGCAGAATTGTATATTTTATCCCTGACAGAGTGATTTCAACACAGTTCCACAATTGTCGGAGGGTGGCTCCGACAAACAAATAAACCAAATAAACATGTACTTCCAGATACCGGGCGAGGTGGCCCAAGTTGTTAGAGCGCGAATTTGCTGACCGGAAGGTCCGCGGTTCGAACCCAACTTCCGCCACTCGACTTCCCCTGTCTAGGCTTGGGCAACCTGGCAGTATCCCAGCCCTCATGCAACCTTCGGGTGGCATGCCAGTTAGGCACCGACAAGGTGCTACGGCTGAACGATTTTTTCTGGAAGAGAATCACTGAGCAATGGCATCTCGGCCACCCGAACAGCAATGCGCGTCAGGAGTTTGGAGGGCCGAGATCGTACTTCCAATCGATTCTCGGTATTCCCGTGCCCTTCCTCAGATCTGGCGAAAAATCAACTCTTCAGGTTCTTCTATGTCGAGCGAGACTATGCTCCCAGTGGGAGCCACAGCTGAGTTGATACAACTAGAAAACCAAGTGGACTTCCATGACGGTAAAACTAACCGAAATTTTCAAGCGAATGACTACTTTTGAGCTGAGATCGAGCAAACCAAAGTCCAACTCACATCCGGTATGGATCCAAAGAGGGACTGAAGATCACTGAATGGCCGCGAGTGGCGATCAACCTTGACCCAGCCTGGTAGATATGGACTCCACTCAGGTACGCCGTAAACCGAATTCGAGGCCAAAGTGCAAAGGAAGGATAAACACTCGTCAGAAACGAACGGAGAAACTTTAGATGGGACAAGGAAATGAGTAATATTCAGTAAGATGCAAGTTTACTCCAGCGCAAAGGTATGTATAAAGCAATGGCTAAAGGCACACTTTTGTACTGCACACAGCGTCCAACAGATCCGTACATGACCATCAGCGCCCTATTAAGCCGTTTACCTATCTTCTGGCGGTAACTGGGTGACAGCACCACCAAGGCACCCATAATAGCAGCTGATTAAACTGAATTAAGGAACAAGAGTTTCTAAGCTTGCAACAGTCCATCTAGCGCCAACGAAATACTGAGGAAGAGACTGGGAAGCGATAAAATTGGGGAACAAGAGTGAAACTGAGCTGCCCAGTTTACTCACATTGGTAAGCCAGTGACTATGATACGTGATGCAAAAGAAGCCCATTCACTTATCTCCAAAAGTTAATAGTGACCGGTTTTATGGAAAACGAACTATTACAAATTTCATAAGTTGTTAGTACAACTTCTTGAAAACGTAGATAATTTACACAGAACAGTCTCAGTAGAAATAAGTTCCAAGAAGTCAAATGAAATTAACCATTTGGGATGGGACTAGTTGTGAAAAGCTAGCCACTACGGGTTTCATCTTGATCGCGACTCCTTACTAAAATCAGTCGCGTGATCAACATCTCGAAACAGCTCAGTGGTTAAGGCCGAACGAACTGGGAAGTCCGTGTTTCGAACCCGATCTGAGCGCCTCAACTGCTCCTGTCTAGCCTTGGGCAACCTGACAGTATCTCAGCCTTCGTGCTTCCGTTGGGTGGCATGGCAGGTAGGTACCGAAGGCTGTTACAGCTAAAGGATCATTTACTACTTACAACGGGTTTCCACGGTCGACGGCCACTAACTACGCTTGCTTGTATGGTAAATATGAAATGCAATCATAAATTGATACAAACTTTACCCGCTGTGTACGTAAATATGGTTAACGGTTGCACGGCGATGCCGTCAATGCTGAACGACCGAATCACTGAAGCTAAGCATAACTGACTCCAAAAATGAGTTCCCGTCAAGAAGAAATCCGCAGTGAATCTCGTCTTCAGTCTAACAAACTTGTGCTTCCATAGCCACAGTCCTAAACCCAACTATCACTAGCCCGGCTTACATCAGAGTATCCATGCGGGGGGTTGCACATAGTTGAGAATGTCCACTCGACTGCTTCAAGCGCACGAATTAAATAGAAGAATCATTTTTATGTATGGAAGAAAGTCGGTACGTCAGCAGTGAGACCAGAACGAGTAAAACAATACACCATCTTAAAGATTTAGAATACGCTACAGGGCCGCCCGCAAGAGGACCCCCTCCGAAGAGGAACCACCCTCCTGGAGAGTACAAAACGGTTTAACTTATCAGTGTCCAGTCTCTTTGAGGGAGGAGCGTCCCTACCCTCAGAGATGCCAGTTATCCCACATTTGTTTGCCTTGTAGATCACTGTACATAGTAACTGGTTAACTCTGTGGCCAACTCCATCTCGTGAGTAGCAGACTGATGATTATTCAGATAAAACCTAAAGATCTCGATTTTGAAAGGAAGCATGCTGACAGCGGTGCAAGTGAAATTAGAGACAAAAACTCATTCGGGATAGCGTTCACTTAGTTTTGTCTGCTGATAAATGTCATTTTCAATAAGAAAATATTGTGAACAAATGACGGACTTGGTAGGATTTACGCACCAGCATCGGCTCCATTAGGACGCGACGCGATCGAGGCCAATCCTTGGCAAGTAAGCTTTGTCACCTAGTTCATTCAACCGATCAACACTGACTACGGGGTGGCTATATGCACTGAAACATTCAAGGTCAAACGGGTATATTGTGATAACGCCTCGCCTATCCACAGCAGCGCACAAGAGTTATCTGGAAAGTGTCTCGCATGATATTCAAATGACGACTATTTTGATAGTGTGCCGACTACCCAAACTGGGGTGCTCCTCGTCGCCTCAGCTCTGTGCGACTTCTTTATATAGCTCCTCCCATCTACAACCTCACACCAGTGTACCCTTCTTTTAATCCGATACGTGCAAGTCTACATAAAAATACCGTTAAAGGTATGGATTAAAAATGAAGCGAATACAAAAACAAAAAATTAGAGATAACTATGAGATCGCACTTCCTATCCGGTTTCGTGTGACATTGCGTGACATAATGATGGAAGCTCCATCAGGCATTCCAGCCCTCGTGCAATGTTGGATGCAATCGCGCAAGTCCTTCATTGGCTGCTGATCAGGTGGCAATTGATCTACTCGCCAAATGTGACAATTGGCTAGCAAACGTTTCGTCGCCATGCGAACAGACACTGTCAGTGCGCAGTTGGGTGGGTGATTACTCCAGTTCTGCTTGCGCACTGACGACTTTTCTTCTATGCCGAACAAACGTTTGCAAGCCAACCGCCAAGCTCAGCAAACAGATCAACTACCACCTGACCAACCGTCAGTTAACTCACCTAAGCTACCAATATCCAGACAAACTGCCAGCAAACCTAGTATGTTCTAACCATGGTGACCGCAGGAGTTGGTCACTGGCACGAGGCTACCAAAAAGGTCCAATTGGCTGGAAACGATAATGGACGATCAAGCTCATGACACTTCTTGTGGAACAAAAGCATGGACTTCATAGAGGTATGACGTGGTCTTCGCTGAAATCACATGAAAAGACGACGGGGGAACATCTTTTCTGGGGAGTCGTCCCTATTGTTTCTTCGCAGGACCATCATACTACACATCACAAATCCCGATGTTGGATGCTTCACACAAAAAACCTATTGCGCGATGGAGATAGCGATCGATGCACTGGATGAGTCAAATAATAGCTTCCAATAGAAAATACATAACGAAATGAGGAGTACAGTTGCAAACCGAAGCTAGGTGCCTGATAGTTATCCGACGTACCATGGAGAGTGAAATCCATTATCAGCTCTCGTAGGCAAGTAAGACGAGAGGCAAACTGGGCCAGCAAAGTGAGCACCTCAGCGAAAGTGTGCGCGATTCGCTGAAAGTGAGGGAGTGAGAACGTGGAATACGTTTAGACAATCTGATATCCCCACATGAGACCTACTTGAAATTAACAACACTCGTCTCCGTGAAGTGCGATTTAGTCTAGCACTTCCAGAAGCCAAATAGCCAATCTGCGTGTGGTGGAGTTAGCGTATTGGAAAGCAACGGTGACCTCGTAGTACGTTGCACGATCAGACATACAGTGGGTCCCGATGGAAAATCAAGGGTAATTTATGGTGAGAAGGTGAAAACCATCAAGAGCTACAAATGACAGACCGGAGGTGGCAGCACCAGAAAGCTATGCTATCCTTGCGTTAATTTGCTAAATGTCCAATATCACAGAAGCGTGGACCCAAACGAAACCAACCACAAAAATTATCTGAAAGGCGGTTACACATTCCTAAGGAGAGGGACGCCAAGCATAAAGAAGTAACCGAATTGAGGTGAGCACAACTATAAAACAGAGCTGGAAAAATTTTCCACCTACCACAATGACTTGCCCAAACATCATTTAGCCCCTTCGCTGTTCTTTTCCCCCAACCATATAGCTACGGAATGCAGCTGCGCTGTGCAGTTTGGCTTCGCTTAATAGCGTCATTCAATAATATGAAAACACAAAATGAAGGTGAAACACAAATGAAGGTGAACGTTCCAATGAATGATGATGTTCCGTCCAGAAACTATTTATTATACTTCCGATCATAGCTAGCAAGTGCGTAATGAACGGTTAAAACAACCACGTGCTTAGTCCAGTGATTCTTCTGTAGACCACAATATAAAGACTAAATCAAAACATTTTCAACTAAACTCAACACTAATCGCAAAGCTGCTGAAGAGTGTTCGGCAGCCGAAGGTGTAAAATCATGCGTAAATGATGTGAGCAGAGAACGACAGAACTACTCACTTCCTCCCAAGTCGCACAACCATCGAGATTCGCTTTTCCGGGGGATAGTCGATCAAGGACGGTTTGCATTTGAACTTTCAATGTATCCAGTGCGTTTTGGTACCAAGGAGCGAGCCGAGGATGGAGTTCTGTGAAAAGAAACATGGGCAGAAGGTTAGTTGCACATATGTGGCCTTTGGTCCCTGAAAAAAAGTTGTCAAGCACTTTCGCGCACATTCGTTCTTCTATTATACTTGAGCACAGTGATCGATACCATTATTAAAAAGGCTTCATCTGTGGAATCGTTTTTATCGTGGACTCCATTCTAACAGGGATAAAATAGGCAAACGCTTGATGATTTAGCAAGGGAATGGACCTATAATTTTCCTGGCCTAAACATACCGAGTGCAACGTCCTTAAAACCATGAAGAGCTGGATTTTCTTGAGATAATAAAGACTGAAACTCAGTACGACTAAATAATCTGCCAGCAGTGACTAGTCTCTTGAAGTGAATATGTAGGAGGTCAAAGGTCGCAGACACGGCCTCTATCTTCTTGGTGTGGTGCACTAGTAAACAGGTGAACGATAATAATGAAGCATACCACGGAGCTAAGCCAGACGGGCCCACAAGCCACATGACCAAGGTAAACTAGAGAAAAGTATACGAATAAAGATTATTAGTGGTGAGAAACCAAGTTACGACAATTCTCGCAAGGCGGTCATAAACGCTACCATAGGTCAGCAAAAGTGGTGTTGACGCTGATGCTTCATTGCCGTTTAAATATACCAGTGAGGTGAGCGGTATCACTGACTCTACAAGTTTGAAACAAGTGGACCCGGTTTTTTTTCCTTCAGCTGTAGCAACCCTTCGGTGACCAGCTGCCGTGCCATAAGAAGGAAGCACGAGGGCTGGAATGCTACTAGGATTCCCAAGCCTGGACAGGGGAAGTCGAAAGTCATAGGTCGGGTTCGAACCACGGACCTTCCAGTCAGTAAATTCACCATCTAACCACCAAGACATCTCGCACCCAAGTGAACCCAGCGTTACTTTAAAAGCCCGCTCCGCGAAGGCAGGTGATAATTGGAGAAGTCAACAACAGACAGACATCACGTTGGAACAAGACCCACCGTTTTCATAAATGTACTGAGATATTTATTGTTACGAGTAGTAGTACTGATACTATTTTTATTATTACGCAGCGTCATCGAACGGCGCAATCGGCTTTTATCAGCTTATGATTAAAAACAACCCTATTTACCTAGTAAATAACTTCATTGGAAGACACAAATGTATCTTCACAAGCTAATACCGGTGACATTCTTCACCAGTTATGTTCACATAGGATTGGTTGCCTTCTGAATGTTCATCACAAATGTACGCAAGAATACCTGCACATAAAAACTCAGTGTGTCCTTATTTCAGGCACCCAACAGAACCGAACTTGTAGAACTAATGCTCACATGATTTGTTCCCCGTTGTGAGGAGTCTTCGTTTCCCTAAGCCCGCCCAGTTCCGCCTCTCAGACTTTTGTAGACTTTTTCCCTTTTTCTATACATTTCAAGTACACAGACGTCCCTGCATTCCCAATAAAGCGTTTGTGTCTGAAAATTCGCCAGCGATGATGAAGAGCAAAAAAATCCTTGTCATGTGTATCCTACATAGTTGATAACAGTGATCTCTCGATATGCTGTCGACGTGATCTGGCTGAGGATAAGGTGGCTGTTGATTCCTCTTGTTAATCCGTATTTTTTCCTTTTTGTACTGACTACTCATGAGTAGCATGCGTTACATCTGTTTATAATACCGCCTTGTTTCTCCGCTACTCGCTCCCAGGGGTTTGGCTCCTGCTTAAAGTCTGCTTACGCCCTAGTCAGTGTCGAGATTTTGTCGCTGGGAATTAGGGTCGAATTCACCTACAATCAAACGTCTGCTCCGATAGAAAAGCGAGCTGCCCGGAGATCCAATACGGAACCCGTCGGATGGCAGAGTGGCGCACTACCTACTGCGCCAACTCGACTTCATAGCTCTCCTATCTTTTGTATTACCTTCGGATTGTATCTTATCCGATAGTGTCTGTTGCTATTTTGCTTCAAGTGGGACTAAGCGCGCATTCCTGTCTGACGGGTGGCACGTGTGGCCTCGTCACGCTGTCGGCTAAAGACTGCAGGTATCCGTACGTTTGTATACCTACTCGCTATAGCTTCCAGAAAGTCATGCTGCCTCACTGACTCCCTTTTCCGCCCCTACCGATTGCGCTGTTATTGAATGTACGTTCTACTTAATTAATGATGCTCATTAGTGCATTTGTTCATAGAACCGGTCATCAACATAGCATCTACTAACCCCATCAGTCGGTTCCTTCTGCATACTGAATAAAAAATGCGTATAGTCCGATAGCTCTAATTGTTCTGCAAGATTCCTAGCGGCCCTACGGCATGATCGGGGGCGTATAAGTGTATAAGTGACCTGTTTTTGAAGTAGGTGGCCGAGGGGATATGATGGTGGAATACAACTTCAATTTGCCGGGTTCGGAATCTATAGAGGTGTCTTGAAAGTGGCTGCCGCCTCCGTGCTCTGTACGTATCTTTCAAATGCCAAGTTGTAAAAAGAAACGTTTTCAACTTCTTTGGGTGGCTTGTGACGGCTGTTTGTGACGGTTGGGAAATTCATTGGAGTTTTACTAAATTCGACTCCCTAGAACGCTGCAGTTCTTGTAAGAACTCTTGTAAGACTTGTAAGGATACCGAATAACCTTAGTTTGTACGAACCAAACCGCTTTTTTCTCGACAGGGGATTCGATTTGATCATGTCCGTTATCATCCATGTAAACGACAATCCCTACACGAAAGTTGATGATCTGGCTATGTCACTTGACAATTG